CTCGTAAACATATGTTTCTACCAGATTAAAACGCTGCTCACTTCTAAATCTGTACTCGAAGGCGCGAAGACGACCGCGACTTCCATATCAAAAAGCCTACGTTTCAAATAAGATTTCATGCTAATTTGTTTGATACTTACTAACGTCCCTACTATCGTGAGCGAAGGTGCATTTGACCCACTCTGCACATCACTGGAGGCTGCGCTGTAGCGACGATACCCCCAGCTAAATTTAGAGCACGCCGCCGAACATCCGATACAGCAGAGAGATGGGCAGAGATCAGTGGTACCGCTACTGCGATGCCTTGTGGCTGACGCCAATACAATCGCCAAGCCGGTGGTCAGTGAATCTCAAAGCCACGACGCACCGCCTTTTCATTTGATATACCTGCCTGCCATTCGTCGATGCTCCCGTCCAGCTGCCTAATCGCCGGGGCTTTTGGAGACGCCTTCACGACCAAAATGACGCAAGGTGCTTCGCCCTCGCCAAGTAACGAGCGCCGGGGTCACCGTGATACGGATGTACCTGCACTTGAGGCCGCAATCGTAACAACGCTTGCAGCTGCAGCGACGATCGCGCATACATAGGAAATAGAAGCTCATACCCTTGTGACCAAATTAAATTTCCACGTATTTTGTCTGCGACGTGTGAATATATGAAACATACCGAGGCCCTAGAGTACACGTCCAGCGCAGAAAGCTCTACACTAGAGGTACTGTAAGCTGTAACTGCTAGTCATGGATTTGTATTTAGTAAGCTGACCATAACGCTTTGGGCTTTTGCTGAATTGGCTCGTAAACATATGTTTCTACCAGATTAAAACGCTGCTCACTTCTAAATCTGTACTCGAAGGCGCGAAGACGACCGCGACTTCCATATCAAAAAGCCTACGTTTCAAATAAGATTTCATGCTAATTTGTTTGATACTTACTAACGTCCCTACTATCGTGAGCGAAGGTGCATTTGACCCACTCTGCACATCACTGGAGGCTGCGCTGTAGCGACGATACCCCCAGCTAAATTTAGAGCACGCCGCCGAGCATCCGATACAGCAGAGAGATGGGCAGAGATCAGTGGTACCGCTTCTGCGATGCCTTGTGGCTGACGCCAATACAATCGCCAAGCCGGTGGTCAGTGAATTTCAAAGCCACGACGCACCGCCTTTTCATTTGATATACCTGCCTGCCATTCGTCGATGCTCCCGTCCAGCTGCCTAATCGCCGGGGCTTTTGGAGACGCCTTCACGACCAAAATCACGCAAGGTGCTTCGCCCTCGCCAAGTAACGAGCGCCGGGGTCACCGTGATACGGATGTACCTGCACTTGAGACCGCAATCGTAACAACGCTTGCAGCCGCAGCGACGATCGCGCATACATAGGAAATAGAAGCTCATACCCTTGTGACCAAATTAAATTTCCATGTATTTTGTCTGCGACGTGTGAATATATGGAAACATACAGAGGCCCTAGAGTACACGTCCAGCGCAGAAAGCTCTACACTAGAGGTACTGTAAGCTGTAACTGCTAGTCATGGATTTGTATTTAGTAAGCTGACCATAACGCTTTGGGCTATTGCTGAATTGGCTCGTAAACATATGTTTCTGCCAGATTAAAACGCTGCTCACTTCTAAATCTGTACTCGAAGGCGCGAAGACGACCGCGACTTCCATATCAAAAAGCCTACGTTTCCAATAAGATTTCATGCTAATTTGTTTGATACTTACTAACGTCCTTACTATCGTGAGCGAAGGTGCATTTGACCCACTCTGCACATCACTGGAGGCTGCGCTGTAGCGACGATACCCTCAGCTAAATTTAGAGCACGCCGCCGAACATCCGATACAGCAGAGAGATGGGCAGAGATCAGTGGTACCGCTTCTGCGATGCCTTGTGGCTGACGCCAATACAATCGCCAAGCCGGTGGTCAGTGAATTTCAAAGCCACGACGCACCGCCTTTTCATTTGATATACCTGCCTGCCATTCGTCGATGCTCCCGTCCAGCTGCCTAATCGCCGGGGCTTTTGGAGACGCCTTCACGACCAAAATCACGCAAGGTGCTTCGCCCTCGCCAAGTAACGAGCGTCGGGGTCACCGTGATACGGATGTACCTGCACTTGAGGCCGCAATCGTAACAACGCTTGCAGCCGCAGCGACGATCGCGCATACATAGGAAATAGAAGCTCATACCCTTGTGACCAATTAAATTTCCACGTATTTTGTCTGCGACGTGTGAATATATGGAAACATACAGAGGCCCTAGAGTACACGTCCAGCGCAGAAAGCTCTACACTAGAGGTACTGTAAGCTGTAACTGCTAGTCATGGATTTGTATTTAGTAAGCTGACCATAACGCTTTGGGCTTTTGCTGAATTGGCTCGTAAACATATGTTTCTACCAGATTAAAACGCTGCTCACTTCTAAATCTGTACTCGAAGGCGCGAAGACGACCGCGACTTCCATATCAAAAAGCCTACGTTTCAAATAAGATTTCATGCTAATTTGTTTGATACTTACTAACGTCCCTACTATCGTGAGCGAAGGTGCATTTGACCCACTCTGCACATCACTGGAGGCTGCGCTGTAGCGACGATAAATTTAGAGCACGCCGCCGAACATTCGATACAGCAGAGAGATGGGCAGAGATCAGTGGTACCGCTACTGCGATGCCTTGTGGCTGACGCCAATACAATCGCCAAGCCGGTGGTCAGTGAATCTCAAAGCCACGACGCACCGCTTTTTCATTTGATATACCTGCCTGCCATTCGTCGATGCTCCAGTCCAGCTGCCTAATCGCCGGGGCTTTTGGAGACGCCTTCACGACCAATATCACGCAAGGTGCTTTGCCCTCGCCAGTAACGATCGCCGGGGTCACCGTGATACGGATGTACCTGCACTTGAGACCGCAATCGTAACAACGCTACAGCCGCAGCGACGTTCGCACCCCCCCCCCCACCCATCGTCGTCGTCACACGCAGTCACAGTGCTGTAAGCAGAACCGCACCGATTCACGTAATTTTTTGTGGTTGCCTTCCGCTTTGCCGCCAAATAATGTATTTGATACGGTCGCGTAAAATGGATCATCTGTGCAAACAATTTAATCCGCTGGTGACCCTTTTCCCGCGGTTCAGCACTTCTGGTGCGGGAAAACGTCAGAACGTGTATCAATTGAGCAAACGTTTGTCATACGCGGTCAAAACAAGTCAGAGTGATGGTCACCGGCAGCGTTGAACAGAGCACACGTACTGTCACAAGTTTTGGGGATAAATAGGGCGAAACCCATTGTTCAGCACAGAAGTCTCGGCCCATTTACGACACAATCACATTCCAGCAAGTGAGGGACGCCGAGATGGCGCGAGCTGTGACGCTGTCGAAGAGAACTGCGCCGTTGTACGCAGAGCAAGAGCGCATCTCACGCGTTGCGCATTCATCTAAAGTCGGGCATTTCAAGGCGAAGAGCAGGAAACAGCGGTACATGAAGAGGCGGGCCCCAGTCCGAGCTTCTAAGCGGGCTTACCGCTGTGGAGTGATAAAAACGGCGCCGCTTGGTGAGTTTGCCTCCTTCTGGAGGGGACCATGCTACAGAGGCCCGTGCATTTCGCGTGTAGGGAAGACTGGAGCGGAGACCCGACGTGAAGTCGAAGCACTTCCTTTAATTACAGACCTGGTCGATTTAATCAAGGAGGCAGGAGAGGGTATTTTACCCCCAGAGCATCGTGAAGTAGGCTCTGTTGGCAAAGATATTGCTAAACTTTCGGAAGTGATTGTTTTGTATGATACTAGCGACAATGAAGATACAGAGAGAGTGAGTGATGAAGCTAGTGATTGCGGCTCTAATACAGCACATCAGCCAAACGAATATTGCGAAGAGTATTGCGCTCCGCTTATTTCGCCTCGTGAGATTATCAGTTTAATGGAGAGTGGTGACGAAAGCAGCCATGACAAGACTGAATGCAACGACGTTGGCACCGGATGCCACGATGAAATCGACAATGTGTACTGGACTGTCACACCAGATATAATTTATTTGGACGAGTCCTGCGACGAAAACGACAGCAGGTCTATCGAACGCTCTAATGGAGCTTCTGAGACGGGCGAAAATGAAAAAGTGAACGTATTGCTCCTACAGAAAGATAATGACGTAGTTCCATGGCCTACTGCTGTAGTGGAGATAACCAATACCGAGATCCCAAACAACATTTTGGTACCCGACTTAAGGCCTATGGATTGGTGTGGCTGCGCCACAATTTGCCGACCGGATAGTTGCCCAAATGCACTGGGTAGCATATTTGGTGCTCGAAATAACTGCCTCAACAGATCTGACTGTGGCAATCGACTGAGAACTGTGAGTGGCCTGCACCTAGCTCGTGGAAATTTTGGATACTCTGTTTTCACGTCTAAGGATATTGAAAGTGGAAGTATTGTTGCTGAGTACGCTGGTGTGTTGATAACACACGACTACCGTAAGGACAAGAAAAGAATCAGCAACTACACCGTCGGTTTGGCCGCGCGGTCGTCGCCCAAGGAGAACTTGTGGATCGAGGCGAAATTCAAGGGGAACATTACGCGGCTCATGAATCATTCCTGTGCGGCAAATTGTCGTTTTACAAGGTTCAAAACCGCCGCTTCGTCACGGTGGTTGTCGTTGCGATGGAGGATTTTCGAGCTGGTAGCGAGGTCACTGTTGATTATGGCGATGAAGTATGGTTTAAATGCCAGTGTGGTGCGGATGAATGCTGTAGTGACTCTATGATTAGCAGTGACGATTCTCCTTAAGGATTATTATAGCGCAAAACCCTGGAATTGAGTAACTTTTAAATGCACAAACAAAACAAAAACAAAACATGAAAGTGACTTCATTATTGCTCGATAGCGACTGAGGGACACTCTTAAAAAAAACGGAGTTGAGTGATCTTCTAAATGTTCGAACAAAACAAAAAAAAAACACGAAAGTGACCTCGTTGTTGCTCTATAGCGACTGCGGGACACTCTTTTTGAATGTGTTATGTGCCATCCGATTGCGTGCATGAACGCTTGTTGTGGCCTTTCCGATGGCAACTTGAGCAACTCTGTGAAGATCTATTCCCGTCCTCTCCAACACTTCTTATGCGCTTCGTCTTGGGCCGTCCCAGGTTTTTTGTAAAAACTGCAGGTAGCCATTCGGAACTCTGAGTGATGTCTGATTCTATCGGTATAAAGACAGCTTTAGCGTGAAATGCATTGGCATACACCGACACTTTATAACACGGCTGAAAGTGTTTGTACACGTCCAAACGGTTGCCAACACTTTCAAGCGCCGCGATGAGGTGCCTACACGGCATGCCCATTTGATCAACGTAGCTACACTTACAAGTCCCGTTCCGCAAATTCACTCGGCGTCGGATCGTACTGAGCTGAATACTGAGTGCACGTAGCAAACATCATTCGAAGCATGCTGGACCGAGTATTGGCCAATGTCTGCACTCTGTTTTCTGTGTAGCTTTTCGGCCCCAGGTGTCAAAACGAAACCTTTATCTGCCCACAATCTAGCATTTTCGGATCGCTTGCAGCATTCGTCAGCAATAGAGCCGCACATTGCTTCAATAAATCGATACGGAGGTAGCTTTCTCATACCCTTCACAAGCTGAGTACCGAATACGCTCTCGACAAAGTTTGAAGTTCTCCATCCATACAGAGGGACCTCACCGATATTAGCATACACGCATCATCGTTGAGGGGGTATTTCACTCAAGTGATTCTTCTCATCAGGCCTGAGTTTCAATCCAATCCACTTCAGCCGACTGGTGTACAGTTCTTTTGTATCCGAACTTTGTAGCGACCAAACGAGATTCTTGTGTACGTGTGTAAACTTGCGAAAGCGCCCAAGGAGATTGCGGATAATGTAAAGTGTACAATACTTTAGGTTCAGACGCATTTCAGTCGCCACGGATATTAGAGAGCCGCTGCGATCACAAAACATCGAAGCTCCTCGAAAGCTATATCCGTGTTTATCCAAGGTCGAAAAAACCACTTGTAGTTGTCAAAGTCTTCCGCCTCCACCAAGCCAAAGGCAATAGTCACGTTCCTTAAGTTTTCATCTCTGCCAACGAGATGCATTTGCATTCCACTGTACGATGGGCACTTGGAATGGCTACAATCAACCCCAACAACTCCTTGACGCGCTCGAACAGCATCCGCAAACACCTTTGCAGTCACAATCGCTCGTTTGAAACGTCCCAATGAGTCATTTTCCGCTAGAGCGTTGCTTCCAGGGTTTAACTCCGAAAATTTCGAGAGGTAACTTGGAATTTTGCTGTACGACTGCACTAAATCCTCCTTACTGATGTCGTCAACGGCTTCTTTGGCGCGGTAAAGTGTTCGTCGCTTTTTCCCAGCGAAATTTCATCTCTAGACTGGATCTGATCAATGCGTGCGCCTGATGTGACGCTACCGTCAGCACGCACAGCACTTTCAAAAGTTGGAAGCTCCGTTATCTGCCTCCGGGTTGGATTAGCGATTGACAGACAGTTGACATGGTCATTAGCAATTGAAGAAATGTACCACGGTCCATACGTCTTGTCAGATCGACGTTTCCGATACACACGTATGGAAAACTCGCATCCATAAGAGCTACACCCAATGAGTCTGTGGACTCCACTTCGTTGCCTAACCTTGACTGCCTTTCCGAGGCTAAGAGAATAGTCTTGTACAGCATGGAGAGCGTCCGTTGCTGACTTAAATACCATGCCAACCGTCAAGCCCGCTGAACCGCTTGAGTCGCTACCCTCACTGATATCACCCACGTCGACATCCATTGTTGTCCCTCAGTCGCAATATTCGTTTATGGAAGCGCAAAGTGTGCGAGTTTGCCTTGGGGCTGTGGGAAGTCGGTCGCTGAACGTCGCGATTTGTGGGTTTGGACCAAACCCACGGTATCCACTTCTTGGCCAGTGATCTATAGGGCACTACGCATTTTGACACACAGACCTTACTTTCATACACCTGTTGGCGTTTGTTTTGAGACTGTCACATACTGTCAATACCGATGGCAGCCCATACACCTATTGACACACGTTTCACACATATTGACAAAACGTTTCAGGATGATACACGTTTTGACGTTTTCCCCTTCTGGTGCTCCAATCTGGGTCGAGCAAACACGTGCCGGAGCTCGTTAATGCAAATGAAAGCTTCTGCTCATACAAAGGCGCGTGCGATATTGACTTGGATGTGTCTGCCAAGGTGTTTCCGGTGTGGAACCTGCGCACGGACGAACCGGCAGTCATTGCCGCTGAGGACGTCGATGCCGGCGAGGTGCTGAGATTGAATATGTCAGTGCTGCACGCACTGGACAAACGTGCAACCCTCGATATCGTCTCGTACTGATCCAGCATTATCAACGCTCAGCTGGCGGGTTTGTGCTGCGATCGACTCGTAGAGGATGGGTGCGCTAACGAGATTTGTTGGCTATTCGTGCATCCCAGTTGACACGTTCGTCCAGGTAGACAGGGGACGTCGCGTCATCGCTGTCGTTTCGAGCATTAAGAGCATTCGCCACGGCAAAGACGTGACGGTCGAGTATGGTGATGATCGGTGATTCATCTGCAGATGCCTGTTTACTAGATGTTTCCACCTCGTTATTTAAGACGAGGGTTACCCTTTGAAACCCGCAGAGGGGCAGAGAGAAGGGATGTGGTTTATAGAGACGCGTGCGTTAGGAAGGCGTCCGTTCAATTACACTGAAGGTTTTTGCTCATTGAATTTTACTGACGTTTTGTATTCAACAGCGACATATGTCACCACAGACCAAAAGGTCGACGTGAAGGTTGGGCGCACTGCTCCTCTTTAAGTAGATCCAAAGGGGTGGCGCGAAGGTTTTCCCACCAAACACGGAAAAAGCCTTTATTATCATTCAAAGATTCTGCCTTGCGTTATGCGCACGCTAATGTCGTGCGAACACGTAAAAGGTGTACACTAACAACGTTTTTAATAGCTTCAGCTATACACACTTATATATATGGTCAGTCCCATTTACCGAAACAAATTCAAACATATTGTTGTTTTTGGTCTTGAAATGCAAATGCGGGATAGTTTGACTTGGTGTTTACATACTCTTGCATTTTTCAAAGGTGCCGTATGGAGAAATAACCGGTGCAAAATGGACAATAACTGCATTTTGTTGTCTGCCGTCCACTAATTTAGGCGGCATTATTCTTGATATCACAGTCTTATAGACACGGACCCTTCGACGTATGGCGATAAACCACCGGTCGATTCTAGAAGGGGTCGCAGTTCTAGAGAAATCGTCGTGTCAATGCTTAAGCAAAATATGAAAACGTAAAAAATCGCATACGATTTCCGGTGGATTAAAGGGGGGGGAGCTTCAGGCTATCTAGCTTAATCAAAGGTACAACTTTTTACAATGTAAAAGCCAAGTAATTAAACAGTAGACCAAGAGTCCACGATTATGAGCAGCCAGGCCAAGAAAAAGAGCGCAACCCTTGCGTTTTAAGAGTATGTACATATCGATTGCACAGGAAGTACACCTCAAGTTGCAATAACACACACAGAAATTCATCAGCAACCGTATAGATCGCCATCAGCCAACGTTTCATATGCAGCTGCCACCACCTTTGGCGCCTTTGCAGGACGCATACGGATGAAACGCGCTTTATTTACTGATCATAGCTTTCCTTTACTCCATTCCTTGTGCCAAACGTCGAAGAAGACTATACGATTACCAGGTACAATGTGGCTTGGTCATATACACAAGTAAATGGACGTGTTATCATCGCACTTTGCGCAGTAGTACGCAGTGGTGTGCGACTTGGACCCTTCGTCTGCGAGCAAGCTTGCATACGCGCATACACCGTTTTGGTTGC